AAACTTGCCAGCTAGGAAGTTTGGGTAACAACCTTCGAAATGAGTCACAAGGAGCATGGGTTCATATCCGGTATAGATTTATACCAATGCATCACACAAACAAGAATTTAAATTCAAACTAAGAGCAAAATAGAAAAACGTATTTCCTCATTGATCTCATATGAATGTATAACAACTAAAGCTGCTTATAAACATTGAACTCAAGACATTTTCCATTTGCTCCAGACATTTTTTTCTTGCAAGCCCCCTCGTAAAATCACTAGATAATGAGTAAGCCCATTCGAGGAGAACTCATTGTAACGTGTGGGCGTTTTGATGCAGAGACGCGACAGACGCAACATTGAATAAATAAAATAAAATAAATATCTCATTAAAAATTGGTGCCATACACATAGATGACACTGAAGAAGAGGTCGCATTGGGAAGACAATGAGATCCAAGAGCTTCTGACAATAATGGTTGATGCCAGTGTACTGTAAACAAAAACACAGGATTTCTGCTGCAGATATTATGCTAGTGGCCTCCTTCCTGCATGCTCTACCCAACACCCCTCACCTCAAAGCTCTGGTGATTTTCCTGCTGTTGTGAATGCGTCTGACTTGGACAATCTTCATTTGAAAACAGCTCAAGACATGTAAAGAGCTCATATTGAGATCATTTATGTCGAGCCTAAATACCTCTTAAGTCTTTCCCAGGACCTGTGGGGCTTTTTTCAGACCCTGCCTCAGCTCTTACATAATGTCATGCAATGATGAGTTTGTCTCTTCCAGAAGACACTATCACACTTTGACTAGATGGCTCACTCTGAACAACAAGATATGATTTTCTACCCGTCCACAGGCTAATATTGACAAACGCAAGCCATGTCAAACTGCACTGACCCTACAGTCACGTCATATCTCGAGTTAAATGCTTTATGTGCACAAGTTGAAAAATGTTTTTGTGAGGTTAATGTGGTGTGGATGTGTAGCTGCAGCTGCATGAATAATAATGATCTAAACTGTTGCTCATGTTACATGATTTATATCTATACATTCAGCAGCCTAGTAGGTGCTAGATTAAATGATTAGCCAGATTTTTTGCAGTTTAGCTGCCAACACTGATCATAGTGTGGATATATTTTAGTTATGAGCCACTGAGATAGAGTTTGACTTTTTAAACTTGTTGCAAGACCTCAATGTGATGATCACTTGAACATACATCAGTGTGATAAGAACTACCTAAAATAACTGACTTTCAGTCATCTGGAAACTCAACAAAAGTCCAGGGAGAAAGAAGTTATATGTTGTTGGAGCACATTGTCTTATTCCCCTCTCTGCTACCCAAACCATTTGTTTCCAATGATTACTAACCATGACAACAATGTGAGGCCAAATTACTTAATTATTCTTTAATTATTATCCTATAATGACTTTGCTATGTGAAACGCATATTTTATCACTCTCTTCTAGCAATTCTTTTTCCACAGAGTTTTATTTATGAGGCAACCATAAAACCACATTACTTAAAGTAAATAGTCTTCGATCAAATCTATAAACTGAAGCTGTTAAGTGTGCGTGCGTGCGTGTGTGTGTCAGTGCATGTGTGTGTGCCCTTAGCGTGTATAAAGGCAAACTTTAACTACGGGCACACTGTGAGAGTAATAAGACTGAGGCCAGATCGGTGTCTCCGAAAATGACCACAATATTTCTGTAAACCCTGACAGGGTTGTTCATCAGACACCAATGATTCCATCATTACTTCAGCAGCTGCTGAGTTCAGCCTTTCAAAACTCACTGTTCAAGTGCACTCTGTTAGAGAACAGAAGCTCTCCACGTCACTGAATGTCAGGACTCTTCAACTCCTCATACAAATGCAAATACATGCAGACCTCCAGTTATACTGCATATTCAGTAATATTACTATCGCAGCATTTAGTTTGGACATTTGTTATCTGTTTGTAATTTCATTCTTCTTCAATAGATAAATCAAGATTGTGAAAATTCATTTCAAAATCAGTTAAAACAGAGATCCACTCTTTTTCCAAAACTTTCTACCACATCACCATCATCAGATTGACATATGGTTGAAAACTCTGTAATAGAGCTAATAAGTGGGACCTAGAGTGAATATTATTTTATCCAAGATAATATGTAGCAGTGCGTAAATCTGGTAAAATTCATGGAACTGAATTCAGTGTCTTTAACCCACAGACTGAATATAAAAAAATAAAAAAGGTGAAGCCAAGTGTCTCGATCCCGCCTGTGGCTGAATGCTGTATAGGTCATAAACCCTCTCCACATTGGACGTTAAATAAATAGGTTTCTGTTATTTTAGGTAGTTCTTATCACACTGATGTATGTTCACGTGTTAATTTTTTTAGTAAATTTGGTTTCAATTAATGCTGTGAAACGTCATAATAAATAGTTAATTACGTCATCGATCCAAGACGCCGGTGTTCGTGTTTGGAATACGTCAACTTCATTTCTGAATAGTGGGAGGAAGTTGAGACACGTCGTCCATCTTTATATACAATCTGTGGTTTAACACAAGAGCTGAGGTTTTGCTTTTAAAGGGATGTCTGTGGTAGGACTAGACAATACCTACTGGTCGACATTAGTTCTGTCCATATGAAGCTAGCACCAGCACATGGTTAGCATATGTACTGTACAGACATGGCATTGATCTTCTCATCTCACTCTTGGGAAACAAACAAATAAGATGATTTACTCACATTTTGAACTATTCATTTGAACACTTGTGAGCTGCCCCCCCCAACCCCCCCTTTTTGTCCTGCTGTCCTGGAGGTTATTACAGAGCCTCCGAACAGTCATTAACAAAATTGGACTCTCTTTCCTGCTGTATCTTTTATGTACGCATGCCTTTCTTTCCTCCTTGGATACTCCCTCTCTCAATCATGCATAAAGCTAATGGCAGCCGGCTGCCTGCCACTGTGACCATTAACAAACAAAGATCCATGAGAAATGTCCGACAGTGGCAGATAAATCTATTTCGGAGAGGAACCTGACCTGCTTACCAGGTTGCTGTTGGTGAAAGGAGAGCGCCTTGTTACCATAGAAACGGCCAATTTGCTGACTGACAGAACTTTGCCGTTGTGACTTCTACACCCACCACTCCACAGGTCCCCCGCCAAAATAAAAACCACCGTAGATTTCAACGCATTGGAAAAGATGATTTCAGGAAAATGAGTTGGAAATGAAGACAGTTTGATTAGAGAAAAGATACGAGGAGATTCAATAGATTTGGGGTAGGGGGCGACAGCAGGGGCTCATGGGAGTGATAACTAACAGCAGGTGCCATTGTCTGTGACCTGCCGGTGAGTGATGCTCAGGTTAATGAGATAGCAGTGGTATTAGAAAGCATGCAGTCAAACAAGGCAAACAGAGGCAGTGATAGGAGCCTCCTGGGGAATGGAAAACAGACGAGATCAAGGCTACATGCATTCACTCACTTTCTGATCTGTCGTGGTATTCGTTTCTACTCAATCAGCATGATGTCAGGAAATCTCCCACATTCATTCTCTGCACAGACTTATACAGCATGTGGATGGGTTTCATGTACAGCCCTGTTTCAGTCTGATGGGGTGTAAAATGGAGAACGTGTGACCGCTGCGCTGCCACCAACAGATTTGCGAGGCCGGGTGGTGGGGCTTTGAGCGGACTCCACTGCAGAAGGGACTGATAAGCGACAGCATTGCTGGCTGATTAGGAAATGAGACAGACAAAAACTATGCCTAGGGTGTTGCCACTGGCAACTGGTGCTGGCCATATGCTATAAAGACTTATTGTGCTGCTGCACTCCCCATTAGTGACACTTTTGCATAGACAGCAGAGCGACTAGAATCATCCAACCCAATCGGAGGTATGTGCGCAGTTCTCCAGGAAGAAAAGAAACAGCAGAGATATCTGGGTTTCAACTTGTGCCTCGTTCCCTTTTTAAACATCCCATTAAATGAAAACTTAATTGACTGACGAGAATGGCAGCAATTCAATCAACCTGATTAACAGGAAAACAGGTCATTAAAACTCTCCCACTCTTTATTGAATTTTACAGTCGAAATAAAGGAAACAGATGGTATGAGGTTATGGCCTTATAGATTATGGATGGTATAATGTTCAATGCAAGCTGCATGTATTTTATGTGCATATTTATAAAGGTATAAATTATTTTCCAATGCTCTATGGACGGCTGTCCTTGTCAAGCTGAGGCTCTGATCCATCAAGGTGAACTGAATCTGAGTCCGTGCCAAGAGAAAACTAAAATAAAATTCCTCTCTTGCTGTTTATCTGGTCTGTTTTTTCTTTCCTACATCATGACTCAGACCCGGTGTGTGCAACAATGTTTTTTTTTGTGCAAACAATACTCCACTGCAACACCATTTCATGAAAATGAAATGCTTTTAAAACCTCCAAGAAAAGCTTGGTGTCCTGGGGTGATTTTTAGAGGAGCCGTTATTGAAGGCCTGCTTTGTATTAATCTGTGATGAGGAGCAAGGGGCCAGGGCAAAAATCTGCATAAAACACATAAGCCCATGGCAAATTATCCTATATGCATACTGTCTGCTATAGTTTGATAACACCATGGCTGTTTGCTGTGGATTATCTAAGCATTTTTACATCCATCCGAGAGTTTTAAAGAGCAAATGTCGCATTTTTTATAATGTCACTAAAATCACTGCCTGCTGAGGTGCTTTTATCTCGGCTAATGGATACGGAGGCTGTCAGCACTGTATATTATAGAGTGTACGTTTGTGATAATTCAAGCTAACCTTAAATTCACCTCACACCGACATAAAGGCTTCACGTTGAGAACTGGCCTGATCAAATCAAATCGCTGACTTGTTTTTTCCTGGAGGATTTGCCACTGATGCTCGTCGTGATAATCTGGTACCTGAGAAATTATCAGGAGGTCAAAAAGGCCTCAATGATCAAAACTGTCTTAGTCAACCCTCCGTCACCTGACGCTCCAGTTCCCCACCTCCTCGCCAGGCCCATGCTCACCTGTACTTCATGCTGGTGTGGCGCCCGATGGCCTCCTTCATGTGGGCATGGCCCTGCGGTGTCTGGCGGGACCCGGACCCCTCCCTGGTCTTGACCGAGCCCTGGGAGGTGTAGTTACCATTGCTCCCTTGTCCACCACCTCCACCTCCTCCACCACCACCTCCTCCGCCGCCACCACCGCCTCCTCCTCCACCGCCACCGCCCCCTACTCCTCCACTGCTTCCCCCAGGAGGTGGAGCGGTGCGAAGGCCACAAAGTCGGTCCTCACTGCGACTCTTGAGGTTGTGCTCGGTGCAGGCGAAGGACACCTGCATCCTGACCCTGCTTTCTTGTGTCAATTATTTTAAAAGTTGGGGTGGGGTGATGATGAGACAAGCTGGAAGGGGGGGGCTTATTCAGGAAAGTCAAACAAACAGTAATGTCTGCAAATTGCTGGAGCTGCTTCACACTGTTTTCCCGTCGTTGCACCGTTGTGGCTGAGCGGCGATGCTCATACAGGAGAGGGCTCAGTCAGACAGGGCAGGTCAGAGATTTTGGCTGCAGAGCTGTAGGGTGCAGGCAGGAGTTCAGCCTCTAACATGACACACACAGAGTTACCGTCTGCTCTGGCTCCTGTCTGGCGATGCAAACCTGGCAAGGGGCTCTCAGAGTTGTTCACACTCGCAAGATGCATCGGGGCTGCCCTCCAAAAAGCATCAGGAAGCCTGTAAGCTCGCAGCAGTCCTCAGACGGGTGGGAGGGGGTGGCAGTTTTTGGAAAGCCCCAGACCCACGGTGCAAAGAGATGCCTCCCTGCAGGGTGTCACTCGCTCGGCCTCTGCCCACATACATGCACGGGCTCCTGGATAGCTGAGGTAGGCTGGTGAAGCACTTGCCTGCTCGCTCCTCGTCTCTTCAGCTGAGATGAGTTGTGTCGGACTTGAGCTGGGGAGCTCCGGACTGTGCCGCAGCAATGACACAACCACAGCTACAGGCATCCTCGCACCTCGCGTCGAAATAAGGCATCTTCTTCTGTCTTTTTTTCCCCAGCAAATAAAAAACAGAAAAGCGGCTCGGTGGTTGGATTTTCTTTTTTTTTCTTCTTTTTTTTTTTTTACATTGCCTCGGTCCGATCCGGCTCCATGGAGGATGCGATTTCACACAGTCAAACGCCACCGATGCATCATCGCCTCAGCAGAGCCGCCTCACGCAGCATCAGATTGATGCAAGAGAGAGAGAGAGAGCGAGGGAGAGAGAGGGGGAGAGAGAGAGAGAGAGAGAGAGGCAGCAACAAATTCAGGAGCTAAGAAAACACGGAGCCGATTTTTCTCTTTTTTCTCCATAAGGTTAAGAGTGAGTGAGCTCGTCCTTATACCGGCAGCAGCAGCCACCGTGCAGCTCTCCTCCCGTTAACCGACAGAATGTCACGGTGCACGGATTGGGAGAAAAAATGATGCCGGTACAGTTCCCCCCCCAAAATATCATCAGCAGTCATTTCAAACACTCGATGATGATGATGATGATGATGATGATGCCTCTTGGCTGTGCATCATCATCCTTCCTTCTTTATTATTATTATTATTATTATTACTATCTCGACACACGAGCGGACAAGTGTGGGGGATTGCAAGATGCTCTCTCTCTCTCTCACTCTTCTCTCTCGCCCTCTCTCTCTCTCTCTCGGGTGTGATCTCTACATTTTTCATCACACACGTTTCATCACATCCTCACATTATGTTAGTGGAGCTTGCCTGCACTCACTACTGCGTCTGGAAAAGCCTCCAGTGAAATAAAATAAAATAGAAAAATATTTTACATAATACAGCAGAGAATATATTTAGACATTTAAATCGATAAAGTATAATTTAGCATATGCATAATGATCTCAGCTGTTCTACCACACCCCTTTATTTTCAGATTTGACATATGGCCAATTGTCAGCATCAGAACCATTAACCACCACCTTCATCATCATTAACACCTTTAACCACCACCTTCATCATCATTAACTGCACCACCACCATCGTCATCACCATCATCATCAACAATTATTACCACCACCAACTTCATCACCACTTTCACCACCACCACTAGCACCACCACCCTCATCAGCACCACCATCATCATCATCATCATATATAGTAGCCTATATTATAGAAATTATTACATTTCGCTTTTATCCAAAGCGACTTACAATACGTTGTTGGTGATCATTCATATTAATAGATTCACCTAACAGAGGTAGTGTGGTGAGAACAGGCCTGATCAAATCCCTAACTGCCTTGTTTGTGCTGCAGGATTAATCATTGATGCTCATCAGGATAATCTGGCACCTGACAGATTATCAGAAGGTCAAAAAGGCCTCAATGATCAAAGCCCTCTGAGTCAGATCCCCGCTGATGTGAATTAACCCACCTGAAGCCCCAGCTCCTCACCAGCCCCATAAGTACTTCATGCTGGTGTGGCCCCCAGTGGCCTCATCTTCATCTTCATCCCCGTCATCATCATCATCAATATCATCATCATGTATAGCATGATATCAGTATAGTATAAAGTCCATATGCAAGTTCTACATTGAAACGTGTATTTCTGTGTATGGAGTAAAACTGTGGAATTCTCTGGACAGTGAAAATATCAATTTAAGTAGATTCATAGAGAAACAAATTTAGTATGAACTCAGAGTACTATTTATGTTAACGATGGATAATGATCAAAATCATATTTATTTAATATTCATGTATAGTCAACGTTAAAATTCACATAGCATTTTGCAGAAGGATCTCTGCTGCTCTACCACACCCAGTTTCCATCACCATCAAGTACAATTTCAAAAGTGAAACTTGATAGTGATTTAGAATGTTGATGAATATTATTCAATTTAAGAAAAGTACAAAGATAAAATAATGAAACAGTATTAACATATTGAGTAGTATTTATGTTAAGATGATGGCTTTTAATGAATAACTCATGTGTTATGTGATTTGTTAAAAGAAAGAAAATCAAAAAAGGGGATGGCCATGTGTATTCATGTTATTTATACGAAAGGGGCAAGTAATGTTTTTTCTCTGACAGCTCCTTTTTAATGTATGAGATGTGTTTTAGTTTATAAGTGTATTCTTTTGTTTTTTGATTACACTGAAAAGAACGAAATACTCATACATCACATCACATTCAAATGAAGCGGAGGTGTAATTTTTGTAGCCAGGCGATGATGAGTATGTTCCTCCAAGGTCGTGTTTACAGTCTTAACTATACTGCCACGGCCTCAGAGAGGACTGTCACTCACAGAAAACTTTCTGTCAGCGCTCGAGTTGTTTGCTCTGCAATGTCTGCCCCTCACAGCGGGACGACCCGGGAAAGAAGCTGCACTTGTGCAACTAAAAATGCACATGCACATACAGACATTCATCATCTCTGTCAGGGATGCTCTCGCGCCTAATGATCACTTGCTTTTGAGCAATCTGCAGATTCCAGGATGAGCTGCTGCCAGCGAGTCGTTGGTAATCAGCTTTTATTTAATGGAGCTATTCAGTACAAGTTGGGATGAGAAGTTTCCAGCTGTACGCGTGGAGAGAAAATGTGAGTGCCACCCACTGTGACATTTCAAAAAGCGATGCTTTAATGATCGTTTTAAAAGCACATTCATTACCCACATTTTTTATATCACAGCGACATTGCACTTTCCAAGAATCACCTTACTCCAAAATATCTCCACCTTCATCCAGTCAGTTTGAATAAATGTTAATCTACAGGAAGGCTTCGATTCACTCTCATAGAGCAGCTGCTCCATCGTAAAGCCCAAATCTGAGCATGTCCTTTGATACATGTGTTCACTTTTATGCAAAAGAAATGTCTCATTAAACCGAGATCTCAGGAAATGAGAGAAAAGTTGACCATGTTTCTAATAGAGATGCTTTATGCAACTGATTGTATAATGAGAAATTGAAAGGCTCGACGTTCAAGTCCGCCATCAAGCTCAGCAATAAACTCATGTCATAGCACGTCTCCAGTGGGTGATCCTCACAAAAATGCACTGGCTCATTTACATAACGCCGGCCTAATCCTCTCTGCAAATCATGTAGCTACGTTTTTTCAAAAACAGATGGTAAAAATGTTTTAAGTGTAGAAATATAGAAACAGTGGCACATTGTCATTGTTCTGAGGGCTGCAGAGATTTGAACAGCTGGTTTTGACTTGCTTGTTCGAGAGCAGTGAAGAGTAAAGAGTGCTGGGTATTGTTCGTGGAGTGGCCCTTCATGAAATGTGCATATAGTTTAAGAAAGCTGTAGGCGTTTATACTCCGTGGAACCGTATCACAGAAGTTTTCCCTCAGACAAGTTTTCCTTATGGTTTCGGTTCATCCTGAAGTGAGGGAGGACAGTCAGAGGCAGTGTTGGATCTAGTATTTTTCTAAGTTAGGGGCCATAAAGGGGCCACAATTTACATAGAGGAGCCATTTTTGCCTACAAAATCCCTTCCCAACTCCTGATTCAGTAATTTGCAAATTTAAGGCATTCCTTGTTGACTTTAAAAAAGCTTAGAAATAACAATTCTTAACAAAATGTTATATTTATTGTTGTTGAAAGTGACATTTATTTTTGAAAAAGCACTAGTTACGGGATTTCAGCTAGGGCCAGTTCCTCCCTCTAACCACCCCTGGTTCCACCCCTGGATCCACGCCTGGATCCACCCCTGGGCAGAGGACCTTAATTCACTGTTTTATGACCTAACTTATACAAAATTCAGACTCCGTGGAACAAATCGTGTTAAAAATGTCCATCCACTAAGCTTTACTTCACTAGAGGTGCATTCCTTTGGCCCTTATAATTAGTTTGTCAACATTTATAGCATCCGTCCCTCTTTCCCAAAATTTGCTCTGCACTCAGAAGAAGAGCAGGTGTGAGGGGGAAATTGTTGTTTCCAGCAAAACCTGCAAATTAGAGAAGAGGAGCCGAGCGGTTGTGTTGATTACAAGTAATCAATTTCAGTCATGAGGAGGTTTGGAGCTGCTGCACCATTACACAAATTAACCACAGATAACACATAACACACACGTTGACACTGCTGCCACTGAAGACACTAAACTTATGAAGAAAGAAGAGCTGAATCATACTGTGTGTGTGGAGCAGCAAGACCTCGGTGTGTGTGTGTGTGTGTGTGTGTGTGTGTGTGTGTGTGTGTGTGTGTGTGTGT